GTGCAGTGCTCTTATCTTATCGGCATTTAAGGTCCCGGATGGAGCAACCTGGGACATTGCCTGGGTGATGGACACCCTGTGAAAAGCACTGGGTGTTGATAGTCGTGAGTCACGGCTCAGCCCTCAGTCGTGAGGCCTGGCCCTCAGGCTCACAGTCTGTATAAGCCACAAGCGAATGGGAGATCTGTGTTTTGTCAACCAGGGAAAACAGGCCAAGATAAAGAAAATGTGTAAAGTGTCCCATCAATTAAGGGATTCTGTTTTGCCTACTCTAAACTCCCCTGCACTAAGTGGCATCCTTCCAGTGGTCCAGCTAACTGGGGCTTCTTCCCACCAACTGCCAGGCACCAGCAGTCTATGTTTGAATGTTCTTAATTGCCTAAGGGTTGCCCTGCCAAAACGAAGAGTCCTAGGAGTTGGCTTTAAAACACACTATGGTAAAATGTGGGAGAACAATGAACTGATCATAATTGGGAAGCTGAAAGAAAACTACTTTATTAAAACAATGATTTGTCCAATGTTAAACCTATACCCCACCATAAGAAGGGAATTTATTCCAGCTAAAATCTGATGGGCAGTGCTTGGAGTATAGGTCAAGCAGCCAAAGAGAGAACAGGTCATTCATAAAATGGACTCACTGCCTTCTACTTTCACTAACACTTCCTGTGGAGAACCGCACTCTTACTGACTGCCCTATATACTATTGTGCTATAAAGTGCTGTTCTGTGAAACACAGCTTCCAAGGATAAACCACCACTCATGAGTTTATTTCTGTTAGTTACAAACTATTGAAATATCGCATTCTACGGTATATATGGAAAACAGCGTATTTCACCATGGTAGCTTAACACTCATGCTTTTGGAGTAAGATCGTTTCACATTGGACAGTAACTTTCATGTTTGTAAACCTGGATTGATTTTTCAAATGTGTGTGTGTGTGTGTGTGCATGTGTGTGTCTGTGTGTGTATCTCACTGTTCTTTAATGTGGGTAAAGTTGAGGTAGGAGAGGAGGATAACAAGGTGAAGGATAATTTGTTTCTGTGATGAATGAAAAAGCTGAATGGAACAATGTAAAGATGATTTTGATTTTTGTGCTTCCATATAATTTGGCCCTTATGTCTGGGTTGTGGTTTTATTTATCCTCTTCTCCTGTATTTTACTTCTGTCTAAAACTGAAGATTTTTGTTTGTTGAAGTTGAGCTTTGTATTAGAAGGGGCAGATCAGGCCAGAAATCCAAATAAGAGGGCTGGGGATCAGGTCAGGGCTTTGGGGCTACATGTCAACAGGAATGCGGATTAGAACCGGCACTGATTTTGTTGGAGCCTTTTTGTGGGAATGATTCCCAGTTGCTTTATGCAATTATTCATAATCTTCCAAAAGGTGAGCAATTCGCTTCAAGTGTGCCATTAGGCCACTTCAACACCATAAATTATTTCATTTTGAATATCTTCAAGTATGTACTACTACAGACAAGTCAAACTTCCATTTTCTATTATTAGGAAGGAAGAAGGTGTGAGAAAAATACTCCCTTGGTATATCCTTGGACAAATGGATATTTAAAACTCAACAACAGTTTATCTGAAGAAATTAATTTCTACAAACTCTTCCTTCAGGTAACATCAATAAAAAATGAAGACAGTGCTGTATGAACTGTAGGGCCCTGACTTCTGAACTTCAACCTGGCACCATGTAATCTCTTATTCTCTCTCTTCCTAGTTGATCTTGTTTGTCTTTAATATCTAGATGCCAGATGAACTGCAAACAGTCCTGGGATCATGGGCCATAGCAAGCCACACAACATTTCATGTCCAATCATGCCTGTCTAGATGTGTTGTTCCTTAACCAACTTAGTTGCCTGTAGCTGACTATTGTGCATAATGATGTCTATAGCCAGTTCCATGATGCCCAAACAAGTAGGCCGTGGGCAACAAGCCAGCTAGGGATGTTTTTCACTGAAATCACATTGCTTTCCTGTCCCAGAGATTGACCCAGCCTCGGTCTGCTTCACAGGAGAACATCACAGTGATTACATTCATTTTCACTGCTACTTACTTGTCACGAGTCCTATAGCCCAAGTATTTGAATCCTCACCCTCAAAGTGATGGCATGAGGAGGTGGTATCTTTGGGAAGTAGCTAGGGCATGAGAGTGGAGGCCTCATAGATGGGGTTCATGACTTCATATCTACTTTGTGGTTTTAATTCTTTTGGATGTTTGAGACAGGGTCTTGCTATAGAGCTTAGATTGGCCTTGAGTTCATGAGTCTCTTGCCTCAGCCTTCCAAGTCAGTGCTAGGATTAGAGGTGCATGCTGCCATTCCTGGCTTTTAAAAGAGGCCTGAGAGAGAAGGCTGATCCCCTTCTACAAGTGAGGTGAGGGTGAGAAGATGGCTGTCCATGAGGAAATGGGCTCTCACCAGATGGTACTTGTTCTGATGCCTTGATCTCTGATTTCTCGGCCTACAGAACTATAGTACACATATTTCTGTTGTTTATAAGCACTCAGCTTATGGTGTTATAACAGTTTGAATGGACTTAGACAATGGGAAATCTGATTCGCCTCCCAACCAAAGTACATATTACTGTGAAGTGGGATCCACAGTGTCAAGAAGCAGGGAAGAACACGAAGAAAAAGAACTCAACACTGAGACACTATTCCTTGCCCAATACCCCACAGGAGGCCTAGTTTGGGGACCCCAGTACTCACAACTTGAATGATACTGACTTTGTTGAAGCTCTGCTGGTTGGGTCGCTCCACTCTGAAAAGAAAGGGTACAATTACTGTTCATATTTCTACTGTCCAATGATCATTCACGATTAAATTAGGCTCCAAATAGGCAGCCCTCTCAGTCACACAGTTTCATTGCCTCCTGCCACAAATAACAGATGAAAAAGTGCAACTAATTTGATATATCCAATATAACAGTGTGTCATTATCGCTCCTTTAATGATATTGAGTGGGAAACAGGGAAAAGTGAGGGAGGACAGAACATGGATTCTTGAACTAAGAAGAAATTTCTAAAAATACTTACTTTGTAAGGTGAATCCTGGAGTCAGATGTTGGGATTCCTATAAGGAAGAACACATTATACAAAAACATTAGTTAAATGATACAAGAGTAATAAAAGGTCTACTTGTTATTTGCTGAAGATATAATGGCAAATGTTTGCAAGTAGGAAAACACTGTTAACAATTCCATTAATTAGGCTTCTGCCTGTAGCTCTGTTCAAAGGATAAACATTTGCTAGCCAAACTTGCTTCAACATGATCATAACAGCCATTTTACAGAAGTCTATTTGGAAATTTGTGCCTTGTGGGAATAAACAACCCATATGTGTGAAATCCAAGGGTAAAATTCCTCACTCAGCTAGGGCATGATGCCTCTACAGAAGCATAGGGAATCTGGTTCAAATATAACTAATAGATACGCGTAGTTTTCCTACCTTGTCCGCCATAGCTGCACTACAAGAAGAGTGTTGCTAAAACTTCATTACAAGTTGAAGTATAGGAAGCGACTAGAGCATTATCGAAATGGATTGAATTTAATTTCAAAGTCCACCCTTTACACAATTCATTCACTGTTTTGAGATCTCTAGATTTGCACTCACAGGGCTTTCTGGAAGCGTAGCCCAGATGTGGGGATCTTGCAGAAGGACTGCAGTACTACTCTCCAGGGCACGCAGCACCGTGGGGCTGCATGACAGAACCAGTACAAACTGCAAAGCAAATATTCCCAAAGTAGAGCCAATGAATTAAAAAAAAAAAAGAATTAGCTATCAATCATTGCTACCAATCATCTTAAATTTAATAAGGTTAAACTTAAGCTCAACACTCTTTACAGAGAAACAGAAGATTGCAGCATAATTTACCCTTAAAAGAAGCAATAACTATACCACCATGATTTAATCCAAAGTGAACCTTCCAATCTATTTACCATGCCTCTGTTTCACAAAATACGTCTCTTCCTTGATGATCACCTCTTTTGTCAAGAGGTGACAAAAGCCTCTATCATTGATGTCTATACAGTTTGCTGTTCAAAAGCTTCTGCCCCCTCCCCAATAAAGAGCTGCCTCTTGACAAAGAGCTTTACATACCTTGATCATCTGATTTCCTTGCTTAGCAAATCACAGACAGCAAAAAAGGGGAAATACCTCTAGAAGCCCAGCCATTGGGAAGGAACACTAAGATATGGAAACTGACAGCACAGGAATCCTTAGAAAATGATACAACAAAGTTGGAACTTGAAAAACACCAGTCTATGATAATGCACATAGAGATACAACCCTGGGGGCACAACAACATCATAGTATCATGTTATGTTAAAAAGCAACCAGCTGCTGTTCATACTATCTGTGTTACCAAGAACAACTAAAGCATAGTCAGTGCAGTCCTTAAGAGCAGTTAGGAAAATAGGAATTACAATTCATAATCATTTCTATTACGGGGCTACTTTGTAAGGGCAACCTTCAATTATCCAGGAATTCCACTTATCTGGAACATTGTATCACTATTTGTGTCTGCTTAACTATAAAGTGATTATATCTCTGTTAGTTTTCTACAGGTTTTGTTACCGAGGTACAACCATGTTTTGGACTCATATGTGTTTAGGAAGTTAAATGACATATTCCATGGTCAATCAAGCCAAATATCAGATCAGAGAGTAAAATACATATAGTCACTCTTTGTATTGATCTTGTAAACCTGACTTTTAAAATCTTCATCTGAATTTTTTTAGCTTATTTTTTGTCAGTACATATTTATCACACATAGTGATCACATTCATCATAAGGAATTTGTACCTGTATATAATGTATCTTAATTCTATTTCTTTCTCCATTCTCTCATTCCTCATCTCCTCCTCCCCTCCCCATTTACAAAAGCTTTGTTTCCATTTTTTTAACTCCCATTTTCATTTTTCCCTTTCCCTCACTCCTGGTTCCCCTTCCCATATGAACATTTTCTTCCTACTTCCCAATATTTTTCATCCATTTTAATCCCTATTTATGCGTTTGGTTTCTCACATAAGAGAAATGATGAGATATTTAAACATATGTGTTTGATTTATTTCACTTAAAAGCTTGTTCTCTAGGTGCATCTATTTATCTAAAAATGTCTCAAGTTTATGCTTCTTTATTGCAGAGTGAAAACCATTGCATATGAAAACCACATTTTTAGTATCCGTTTATTCAATGATGGGCATCTAGGCTGTTTCCAAGATTTAGCTATTACAAATTGTGTTCCTATAAACATGGGTGAGCATATATACCTGTGGTGTGATGCTTTTAACTCTTTTGAAAAGATACAAAGAAGGGGAATAGCTGGATCAAATGGGACCTCTAATCCTAGTTCTTTGAGGAATCTCCACACTGATTTCCACAGTGGTTGACCAGTCTCCACTCCCACCAACACTGGAGAGGGTTTTTTTCCCCCCACACCCCGCCAGCATTTGTCATTGGTTGATATCTTGATAGCAGCCATTCTTTCTGGAGTGAGATGGAATCTCAGTGTTGTTTTCATTTGTATGCCTTCAGTGATCATTGATGTTGAACAGTTTTTCATATATTTATTTGCTGTTTCTACTTCATCTGAGAAATGTCCATTCATTTCAGATGCCCATTTTTGGATTGGATCTTTACATTTTGGGGGTATAAGTTTTGAGTTCTTTTTTTTTTTTGGAGGTAGTATATATTTTTCCATTAAATGTATTGGTACATTTAAAACAAACAATACAGTTACATTTATAATTGGGATCTTGTAACTTTATATGATACATCGTGGTTCTTGTTTTTTCCTCTTACCCTTGCCCTCCCATCATCCTTCCCTATTTACAAAGACTTTGTTTCCATTTCTTCATTTTTCACATTTCTTCTTTTCCCTTATTTCCTTTCCCCTCCCCTTCGCACTTCCCTTTATATATTCTAAATATTAGTCCTTTGTCTGATAAATAGCTGGTAAAACTATTTTCCCATTCTGTCTGTAGTCTCTTCACTCTGTTGATGGTTTCTTTTGCTGTGCAAAAGCTTTTTAATATGATGAGACCCCAGTGGTTGATTCTTTGTAATATTTCCTGCGTGACTGGGATTTTGTTCCTGAAGTCTTTGCCTATGCCTAAGTCTTAAAGAGTTTTACCTATTCTGACTTCCAGCAGGTTTAGTGTTTCTATTTTACTATTTAGATCTTCGATTCATTTTGATTTTAGTTTAGTGCATGCTAAAAGATATGGATCTAGTTTTAATCTTTAGCATGTGAAAAGCCAGTTTTTGTAGCACCACTTACTAAAGAGACTACCTTTATTTCAATGAAGGTTCTTGGCCCCTTTGTGAAAGATAAGGCAGCTGAGTGTGTTTAGAATTGTTTCTGCTTCTTCTGTTCGGTTCCAGTGATCATTGGGTTGGGTATTTTGGGTTTTAGACCCAAATGACCAGCTGTTTCAGAGCAGCAAGGAAGTGGTGCATGGAGTCAATAGGATTTAAGTAATAGACATTATATATTATTGATCATTTTTAATGTTAAACAGGTTAGACATTAAACCAGAAGTCCAAATAAATGAAACATCTTTGTATATCACCGAAGTCACACTATATAAATATCTAACCCTAACTGGAAATAGCCTGATCACATAAAATAATCTGCGTTTTTCATCTAGTAGTTGTTAACACATATAAGACAATTAAAAAAACTGTGATCTGCACATCTTTTATAAGTATGTCATATGTACTAAAATATTGATGTAAAATTATTTTCAAAAACGTATATGAGACCTTTCTACATAATTGGTTTGGTGACAACCCCATAATCAGAGGCTCCTGTAGGATCTAGATTCTAGGATGGGGGTCAGCTAACTTTTCTGGCAAAGGGCCAGATATCAGATATTTCAGGCTTTGGGAACATTCTGTCTATGTCACTATTACTGAATTTTGCCCACTACAGCATGTGTGGGTGTGACTTGCTTAGAAGAAAGTTTGATTTACAGGCACTGAGATTCAAATTCTGTATTCATGGTCATATTATTTATAATACCTTGTTATTTTTCTGTTGATAATTTGAAACACTTAAATTTCTTAAAAAATTAAAACTTATGGGCTGTAGGATGCCAGTCTCTCTTCTAGAGGATGTTTCTTTTACTAAGCTTCCCCTAGGGACACTATTGCTCCCTTAATTCTGCTTAGCATGTACTTAGCCCTCCCTTGTGTTTTCCATATTCTTTGGGGAAACATGGCATTTTCAACTTGGGATTGGTAAGAAAACTTAAATGGAGGATTCTTTAACTATGTTTGTTTTTTATAAACTCATGGAATTAGATTACTTAACCTGAAGAGGAAATGGAGGTCCAGAGGAACGTGAACAGGACCACACAGCCAGCAAAGGTCAAAGGCAGAGACAAGATTCAAAGCGTCCAGAATCACAGTCCCTATGGCAGCATTCTCGCCTCTTTAGGTAAGCTCTGTCATGTACGAAAAGTGATGCTTTCTGAGAGGATGGTATCACCTACTTCTGCTGCCAACACAGACAAAGGGGCAACAGCCTTGTTACGTAGGTGCACTGGAGATGTTGTGGAAAATGCACTTTTATCTGTGAACCTGTTTGGAGCAAGACACACTGAGAGATAGTGTGCCTTTGTGTCTGAACACTTAGATCTAAAGGCCGCTTCTGTCATGTATTAAGTGAGGGATTTTGAGCATATTACTCCCTCCTCTGTAAATTACAGATAAGCAAGTTGCCAATATCCTTGGGTCGTGGTGAGGACTGAATTATTTAGTAAATATTAAGTGCTTACAATAAAGTGAGGCATATGGTACCACTCTACTGTGTTGCTGTACTTTTTCTTCAAATCAACATTTTGACAGAAATCAAATGAAACAAAATAGTTGGTGTTTGGCAATCCTGTTTTAACCATTTTATCTCACGTGCTCCTACCTTTCTTATGGGGTTGATGTGGTATACACAATTGCAGAAAATGTAATTATGTCTGATTTCAAATTGTGCTCATACTACAAAAGTCCATTTAAACAATCAGTTCTTTTGAATATACTTAGAAATATCAAAATTACAACGTGCGCAATTATCTA